GGAATATTGGGGGATTATGGTGGTTTTATTTGCTTTTCTTTTTTTTCTTTTCTTTTTTCCCCTGCGGGATGCCGACCACCTGTCGACCGGCAGGTGCCGACAGGCCGAGCGGTCGCCTGGTCGCCCCCCGACCAGTTGGGGGGCGCCGACCGTCGCCTGTGTAACACTGTCCATAACTTTGACTTGCCCAAAAGTTATGACCCAAAGGCTTGTTCCCATGCTTCTTCCACCCCATTTCCTGGTTCTGTTGGGAGTTTTCCGAGACTTCCCCTTCTTGGATCTCTACCTGAGACACACGGACTGGAGCTTATTCTACCGCACTGAGGACGATTTTGACAAAATCTGAGACCCTACAGACCTTCTTTCAGACCAGTTTTACTCAGGCTTCAGAACCGCACTGCTGCATTCGATTTTGAACCCAGTTTACTACCATGTGTTGCATTGCAGAGTCAAAGAGGCATGATGATGGGCAACCCAAGTGAAGATTAAGAGGTGAAGAATCTTAGGGGGGCGGGGAAAGGCCCCAAAAGCAGCGTCACGCTGCAGTTATGCTAAGTGGTACACACTGCTATATCATCAGAAAGGTTCAAACCCTGTTGAATACAAAATGTTAGGAAATGATGTAATCGCTTTCACTGATGGTGTTATTGGAGTAGAGAAAGGACGGGAGTGGGAGGAGGGGAAGAAGAAGAAGAAGAAGAAGAAGAAGAAGAAGAAGAAGAAGAAGAAGGGAGGAGGAAGAGGTGGCCCATAATTACCCGCCATGGTGATAGAAACAACCCAAGTTCATCCATGACTTCATCGGAAACTGCAGGCTGTGGACGATTCCATCTCACTCCCTGGTCATCATCTTCGTCACTACCGACTTCAGAATCCATCCCCGGTGGAAAAAATCCATGCCGCATCATCACAGCTCCTAGATCCAGGCCCTCTTCCAGCAGTACAAAGTGCCCACTGAGTTTTGAATAGTCCAAAAACAAGGATCAGATCATCAGAGTTCTTTTTTTCTGTCCTCTCAGACATTCGTGAAAATTGGCACGATACACAGAAAATTAGCAAAGAAAGAAAAGAAAACGAATCAGAGTCTTTTCAGCTATGTCATGAGGAGGCATTCCGCAGTGACGATTCAAAACATCTTTTTTCTTTTGTTTTCCCCGAAAGAAACAGAACCTTAAGGTTCCGGCTCCATATCCATTCTAGGTAGCATCATTCCAGTTCCTTTTCCACCAGCAAGTCAAATATTTAATGAGACACTTGTACACTTCTCCCCATTCTGGTCGGGAGACCCGACGTGGGAGGCATTGATTGCTTCCGAACGGAAGGATATACCTCCTCTCACCCCTGCCTAAGTTAGCCTTCAGTTCTAGTGTCTCCAGCCTACAGTTCTTGCATCTCCAGCCAACTGTTCTAGTGTCTCCGTTGTTCTCGACCATTACCTCGACACACGTGGTTAACCAGGGGTGTTATGTTTGCACTATGGTCTCATATCGTTTGTTTTTAAAATTTTTGATGAAATTCACACTGCAATTGCCAACGAAAACGGCGAATATTTGGGCCCCCGTTAACCGTCTCTCTACCTCGATTGCTAGTAGTTGCGACTACTCCTGAGCTGACTCGAAGCCGGATTTTACTGCTCCTCTCAGCTGATTCCGCCCTCGGTTAGGCTTGACTTTCTAGAGCCTTGCTTGTACCCGGCCTTGTGAATGCTGGGGGCTGTTCTGTTTTACTGACTTTCTGATGCTGATATAATGTCATTACTATTTCTATGGCATAATATGGGATCTTAGTGAGACCCGTTGTGGAGCGGGCTGTGGAGATAGGGATGGTGTGGGGACTTAGGAGAGAGGATGCCTGAGGTAGGTGCTTCGGATAGTTTGAGGGACTGAATCAGCAGCGGATTTTAGGACAGGGGATGGGGTTTTACCAGGGTATACGGTTCAGGGTATCAATCAATACATCCACGCTTCATTATCACCTTCCCCCAAAATCCAAACCGTCCACTTTGAGGAGAGGCAAAAGGTCCTACCCAGGGTCCAAGCACATGTGGGTGAATGGTACACCCATGTAACTGCTGATGAACAAACCTACGTTCGGGAACTGATGGAATCAGACGAATAAAATTGCTCTGAATTATCCAGGGCTGAGATCGGCCAGTCTGATGATGATATTTCAAGACCGTCGCCTTTTTTTTCTAACAAGAAGAGAAAAGAGGGGTGAAAAGAAAAAGAGGCAAAAGTCCACTGAACGACACACAAAATGAACAATATGTCATTCTCGTGGGGAAGCAATGCCATACAGAGAACCTAGTTCCATTTCCTTGAAAATCCACAAAAAAAACTTTAGCCAAATCAGACGACTCCCGGCACGCCAAAACAAAACAAACTGGCCCGGGCGCTTTTTTGGCTGGCGCCACCAGCCATTTGGCTCCGGTAGGCCGAGCCCCGAAGTTGTGGTGCGTGCACAGCCGTGTCAGAGAAAAATGGCTGGGAAAAGTACTGCCGGTTCTTAATATAAACTTAAATAAAGACAGAAATGTTCAATTTGAAACAAAAGAAAAGAAAAGAAAAGAAGGAAAGAAAGAGGGAAAGAAAGTCTTAGAATGAAAGGAAGGAAAAGCTTGAAACTTTGAAAGTGATTAGCCCCAAAAGGACAAGGTTCTCCCACAAGGACCACAACCAAATAAATGCCAGAGCAGTCAGACACATAGCGCAGCACAGTGCGAAAGGTACCTATCTCACACTCTCCACCAAGAAAGAGAGACAACGAGGTGGGAGCAGAGAGACGCTGTGGGGGGCTCAGACAGGCCACAACTGCCACAGCACCACTGCTGGAAGGACACCCAGAGAGGGAGGTGGAAGTCAGAGCGATGGAGGTAGGCAGGTGGAGGTGCCACACTTTTATGCTTTTCAAATAGAACAGAAGTTAGTTACACAACTATTGTGCATGTTTTCCCCACTAATAGATTGGAGAAAAAAAAAGAAAGAAAGGGAAAAAAGGGTTTTCCCCACCAATAGAACGGCGAAATTAAAGAAAAAAAGAAAGGTAAGAACAGGGGAAACTGCAACTAACCTTTCGGACAGAACAGCACGCTTTGAATTTGGCAGCAATTTCTTCAGCCTGCCTGTCTCATTAAGCGATGGCAAGACGCGATCTTTCCCGCTTGCTATCTGCTCATTTCACCAACAACAATCAGCAAGTGAACGGAGAAGGGAGGGTGGGGAGAGGAGGGGGGGGAGGGGGTGGAAGGGGAAGTCAGCGGAGAAGAAAAGATACAACAGGAGGTGGTGAAGCTTAAGGAGATTTTTCACTGATCAAGTGCCTCCTCCTATTAACGTGTTGTTAGCCGATTTTCAGATGGGCAATTTTCGATTTTCACTTCTTTTTGCCCTCAGATGGTCCTTTTTTTTTTCCTTCTTTTTTCCTTTTTTCCCGGACCATTTCTCAATTTATAGGTGTCGTCCTTGCACAGGGGCCATCCTAAACGACTCACCTGGCTTTTTTTCTTTTTTTTTTTTCTTTTTTTTTGGAATAGCCAGGCCCCTTCTGTTCTGGGGGGCATCACCATGTCTACCACACAATAAATAGAAAAATGGTAACTGAAAAAAAGACACCACCGGTTCGCTACTTCAGTTCCTATCTCGTGGCATAGGATGGCTGGATAAACAAAGAAAAGGAGAAGATTCAAGAAGAGGAATAAAAAAACGAGGGAGGGAGGCAGAAAAAAATTGAAACAAAAACATATCATCAATACGATTCAATAATAATTACTAATTATATTATTATCACATAATAATATGATAATGTTATATGGTGATGGATGGCCTTGGGAGATCATTATTGAACTGAGCAGCCCCAGGTAATTCAGAATTATTTCACTCTGTTGATCTGATTGCATGATTTGCGTTGCGATCTGGACTTGGGTCTGTATTTCAAAAGGTCATGGGTGTACCAACTGAGCTAAGCCCGGTGGTATGTAAGTACTAATTAGTAATTTATTATAATATAATATTAGACTGTTTTCTCACGTTTTCTGGCCATTTACAAAGTATGCAAGAAATCTCTGACACTGCTGAATAAGCAAAATAAAATGCAAGGCAAGATAATGACACCACCAAATCTGAGATACTTCAGGGTGTACTCACACAAGGACTTTCTTGGATGTTTCTAACCGGTTTTAGAGCCTGACCTGGATGTATCTGCCCGCAATTACGTCCACAGCTCAGTGAAAACAGTCCTAGTGTAAGTACGTTGCGTTTTCTCTTTTGGACCATTTCTCGATTTATGCATGTCATCCTTGTGCAGGGGCCATGCTAATCTTCTCGGTATCGTTCCAATTTGAAAGGATGTCTCGAAGGACTGGAAGGGCTTTCCTGACACCTTTTTTCTTTTTAAATGACACTATTTTTTGGGGGGCACGAGGGTTTAGGATATGCAATATAGGGAAATTACATGCCACAGAGTTGGCGCAGGTATAAAATATTAAAAATAGAGATATGAAGGAAATAATTTGAATTATGAATTCAGTCCTTTAGAACATCCGGTCAAAATTGGAACGATACAGAGAAGACTAGTGTGCCCCTGCACAAGGATAACACGCATAAATTAAGAAATGGTCCCAAAAAAAAAAAAAAAAAAAAAAGAAGAAGAAGAAGAAGATGAAGATATTTACGAATCCAAGTGCAAGCAATGTACATGGATAGAGAGGTTGTTTGGGAACCGTACCAGAAGTGTTGGCTGGGAGACTCTGCACAAGTCGTCATCTGAAAGACCAGCTTCATCAAGAAGAAGTTTGAGTCGGAATGCTGCACAAGGTGCTGGGACGTATTCTGCAATCGACATAACGTCATTATTCACGTCTCGAGAAACCAGGCGCTTCCGGGCCATGAAAGGGAGTGCAATTTCCTGTCACAGTGCCAGACAACACCACACTCATTACTTGTCAGTTCCCAAGTTCTCAATCTCTTTGTGGCCTATAAAATGAAGATCCCTTGACCATGACATCACAGCCGTGAGCTTTCTGCCTCCGGACCAAACACCCTCAATCAACATAACCCTTGAAATTGTTGTCCTGCAGGACTTCAACCGCCACTTTCAATAAGCATACACGGATGTGCACCATCTCTCTCTCTCTCTCTCTCTCTCTCTCTCTCTCTCTCTCTCTCTCTCTCTCTCTCTCTCTCTCTCT